CCCATGATTCTTGAGGAACAAACAGAAACAGCATAGCGAGAATTTTAAGTCGCCAACCATTGATGGTAGACATGCAGATAATTTAGGATACGTAAATTCTGTTGATGAGGCGCTTAAACTTATTGCGGAATTTGAAACAGGATTGACGACGAAGTTTTCTTTCTTTAAAGCTGTCAAAGGTTTCGGGAACATATATTTATATATATTTGATATAGCTCTTTAGCATTACAAAGCTTTGCTATCGCTATTGTGCATTCTCACTAGTTTGTCTAGTTCAAGTCCTCTGGCATGGCTTGGATGATACCACAATCGTGGAATCATTCGCGTTAATTTAATGCTTACACCTCCTTCCTCGGACAGAAGTCACAAAATACTGGGGGAAGATGCATGAGATATTTAAGGAGCAAAAATTCGTTTTTTACTGGTGTGCCTTTCCTAATTTTGGGAAGGAAAGTGTTCAATTGCCAGCACGGCATAGATTGAACAGCTGGAGAGAAAAGGAAACGAAAAGATACAGAAGAAGTACTGTATATAATAATTTCTTTTTATCCTCAACCTTTGTGTTTCTGTCAACTATGGCTTGCTAATTTGAAAGGTCAAATACATGAATGGGTCATATGACATTGATCTCAGGATACTTTTATGACAAACGTGATAACAGTTCAATCTTGGCTAAATTGAAGATGGTTTAGAAGTTAACAATTATAAGAACTTTTCATTAACATATGCTGCTGACAAAGGAGAAAATATATGCAATTCTGCATTTTTTGCATTCTATCAAGCAATCATATGTTTGCTCCTTATCACGCTATGACACTTCCATTTTGTCACATTCCAAAAAATAACTTGAGAAATACACTGTCACTCATCTTACACTGTTATATTTACCTATTACAGAAGGCTGAAAACAAAGATTTTGTTTTCAAGAAAATAAGATTTCTTGTCCAAGACACAAGGAAGTTTGACTGCAAAGCACAGATAAAAATGCGCGAAATTTTATTTTTTTCAGAGAACAAGGTAGTTCTACTCATGTATAAACAGAACAAATGTGATTTAATAAATCAGATATGCGGCACGACTCCTTTCCTTCCATCCCCACTCAAAACAAGCAAACACACCTATATAGGTTCCAGTCTGGTCTGCAAATGAAAAGGAGGAAGGTGATCACTGCAAAATTAAGCATTAGGGTTCTTATTTATAACATATTGATTATTGTATACTGATATCTAGAAATTAAGGTTGCAAGTAGCAGCCAGCTGAGTTATAGTTTGAGTTTTATCAAGTCCATTACTTTGTTAAATTTAGAGTAACCTTGTCTTGAGAGAGGAAAATTGAGGAGCTGTAATATACTTATCATCAATTAGGGACCACAAAGAAAAATTTATTTATAGAGACTTTTGAAGGAGAGGGGTAAGACTTGTGGCAAGCTGGCAGACATATAGATAAACTTTACTGTTAAATGGGTTACAATACAATTACAATACCATATCTGATCCAATAATATTTGGATCAGATATGGCTCAACTTAAACTTTGCTTTATCTTCAAGTTTAATCCTTTGTGGTTTCCTTTCTCTGTGTTTATTTTTCAAGTTATGTACACAGAAGAACACAAAAATGACAAGGAATGCTTTTGAATATTAAGAGGCTGGAATAAGCAAGAAACCAAAACTGAATTTTAAACAGTACAAAGTTAATTTGATCTTCCAATGTTATTCAATTTTAACCATTAATAGAATTTGCTATTTAAATTTATCCCCTCCATTTTTCTGGATATTGTGAGCAAAAACAGACAATTATCACAAAATGCATGGTATACAATGGTTTGATTCACCAATGTGGCAAAGGCCTTTCACTGTCTATCCATAAAAAGGGAAATAGTTTGTAAAATGTAAGACATTCTGCATCTTGAGCATATACTTATTCATCCATGTGAAATTAAAGGTTACTTGAAATAAATATGAAAGATTTATAGGATTTTCAGACCCCTGATAACAATTACTAATGTGCTGATTTGTTGTACTTAAAGGTTATGATTTTAGCGGAAAAAGTGGAAGAAATTTCTGGACCTGGAATTTTGTTGCAAATGTCTGTTTAAATCAGTTTAAGTCAGTTAAAAACTCTCCTGTTTCAAGATTACATGATTACCACACCAGAACCTTTTATATTGTGCACCATGTTATGATTATGGTTTCAATAATAAATGGTGCTGACTCAAGAACTTTGCAAAATATCTCTACATACAAAGAAATAGATTGTGGTTATGTACTCCAAATAGCAGGTAACATCAGTCTTCTGTAAGGAAGTAGCAGAAATTGCTATGGTGGTTTTGGTGGATGGAGAGAAACATCCACCAAAACCACTTTATTCTATGTGTTAAGAGTTATGATAATCATTATGAACGTTTGGTCGGTCAGCAATTGTGCACCATAAAAAATAATTAGCCAGAGCACTAACTGCTAATTAGTGGTATAAATCTTTTGTCTCCCTGAACATCTAATAGTGGCTATAGATAAAATTAAAAAAATATATTGTTGATGGTTTTGGTCAAAGTTTTGGTGGATGTTCCCTGATGACATCCACCAAAACTACGTAACATCTGGGCACCTTTTAAATACGTGAAATATCTGCATAAAATTGCGTAAAATGTTTTATAATACTACAATCGAATAATAAATTAATACTTACCATTTCTTGAGTAAAAATTTTTGACGCAATTTCCCAAACAAATGATACACTTAGGTCATCGGGATAAGTCGGCATGTTGTCGTAGCTTCGTAATTTTCACTTAGTATAACAAGTCATGAGTTGTCCATCATTCCATCTCAGTCCCTCTCGACCAATGTGGTTTTGGTGGATGGAATCTAATGCTGACCCATCTTGTGCTGCTGTGCGTTACATTTGCTATAGTTTTCTTTACGCTGTCGCTTTGAACAATGACCGATACTCAAGAAAGAGTCGTGATAAACCAAAATACTAATGGTCTGAGATTTGAATTCTTAAGGAGGTTAGAGAACAGCTTTATTACAAGTGAACGGTTTATTTACGGAACCATCGCCACAGTGGTTGTTGTAGTGGCGGTTTTTTACCATAAGCACGCTATCAATTCCCATGAAGCCCGCTTTGAAACAACTGTGGAGGCTATCCAAAAGCTCGAGGAAAAAGTGGTCAGAGAGCTCAATGTCCTTAGAGGACTTTTAGGTAGGTAATGTAAAATTGAAAACTGTAGGGCCAGGTGTTCTTCTACAACAAGCATCACAGTGGAGTTAAATGTGAATGAGGACGTTCAAATTGGTAGTAATATCTATTCGTTGCGAACAGTTTTCCGAGAATTAAGCGTGGCTATACATCCTTTTAATCGTAAACTACGGTCTTTAGATTCGGATATCGAGCCTTGATTTCATGATAATATGTTTTTGTTCGATAAGAAACCGGCGGACTTTAATTTCATTCAATTTAAAGCAAAATATCTCAGGGTATTTGTTCGCAGACATTATCTTCGATTATCTATTCCGAGTTGCGAACAGTTTTCCGAGAATTAAGCGAGAGGAAAACTGTCATGTTCTTTATGTGATCAATCCTTTTAAAGCTTTGTAAACTACAGCTCTTTAGATTCGGATATCGAGCCTTGATTTCAATGACAAGCTCCTCGTAAGTATGTTTTTGTTCGATAAGAAACCGGCGGACTAAGTCTTTATCTAAGACATTTTCTACCGCCGACATCTTAGTTTCCTAAATACATGTCGGAGCCCATGCAAAGCTCTCCGAAAATATGAAACCGCAGACGGAAAAACCAAAATTCTGAGAACATTTTTAGGGTCGCACTGCCACAAATACAATAGTACTACTACCGTATTTATTCGCCTATAAGCCGAGACCCTAAACTTTTTCATGTCAGCAGTTGTTGCATTGAAATAAAAAATAAACACAAAACATTCGGCTATAAGCCGAGACCTAATAATTGCAAAGTACTCCACGCTTGTCGTTAACTGAGATGAATTAACATAAACCGAAAACAAAAAGAGCTTCCCTCTCGGGAAACATGCAACCAAAAAGTAGGTTATGAATAAACATGGAAATTAGTGGTAGATCAGAATAATATTGACTGCAGCTGATTGGGATCAAACCATTTTCTGACGATCGTTCTTGCTGCTTCAAACACTAAAAATTTCACTTTTCAGGTCCTGAGGGTAAGTTTATATTTTTCTGAGAACTGAGAAACTTTAAAAAACTTCACGCTTGATTTAACAGGTGGTAACATTTTTTTTTCATAGATTTAAATCAAACATGCAAGCAAAGACTTAAGACGTGCTAACTAGCGCGATGGAATAACTTTGTTGATTATGAGATAGATAAGATTGTGTGAAACTTGCTCGTTTATTTCGTGATTTACGGTCATTTGAGATGTTTAGACTTTGTTGATAGCCTTTACGAACTTCCTGTCGAACACAAAATTTCCAGAGACTCGACGAGATAAATTCGCCGATTGCATCGTTTGCTGACCTTTCCAATCTACCGAAGATTGTTGGTACCATTGACGGCTCTCACGTCAGAATAAGAGCACTTACAGCTAGCGACAGTGCACCGGATTAGTTCATTCGCTACCAACACGATTACATAATCCAGGCTAATATTGATGGCAAGAATAATTATGTGTACTTCGCATGTGGAACTCCTCGAAGCATGCAAGACGCTCGCGTATTTAGGTGCAGTACCATCTTTCAAAGAGCTAGACAGGGGGACAACCTAAGCCGGCCAAATGTGAATGTGGAATAGGTCCTTAACTTTTAGGTCATAGTGCCTATCCCCCTCCCCTTTGGCTAATGAAACCATATACTGAAGGCACACGGGACCCAAGGAAATTAGAATTTAACAAGAACCTTTTCTTTGGAAGAGTTAAGGTTGAATGAGCTCCTTCTATAAGATAGATGAAGAATACTCTCCAGGTCGTCATCTCGTTATTACTGTTTTATAACTATTATTATTATTAGTAGTAGTATTATCAATAACTTATTTATTTAGGTTTATCAGTGAGTAAGAACTGTGCCGAGGTGTACAAATCTGGTGGAATAACCAGCGGTGTTTACAGAATCAAACCGGATGGTGCTAGACCTGACTTTGAAGTGTTTTGTGATCAAAAAACTACTAACGGGGGATGGACAGTGGTCCAAAAGAGGCTGGATGGCTCTGTTCTTTTCGATCGCGGCTGGTCTGACTACAAGAATGGCTTTGGTAACCTTGATGGCGAGTTTTGGCTCGGACTGGAAAAAATACACCATTTGACAAAATCCCCTAGCAAGCTTCGAGTCGATCTGGAAGATTTTGACGGCGAAACTTCTTACGCCGAGTACGACTTAATTGTGGTAGCGACTGAAAGGAAGAAGTACCAGTTAAGCGTTGGGAAATATTCAGGTAAATTGTTTGAAGCAAATGAAAGTAATTGTTTTAACTTAACGGATTCTCTTTAGTTGTTCTAAGAAAAACTCAGAAGTTTTTATTGAAAAATTTTTTCAAAACTTTGACTTAGTTTAAGAAGAGTAATTTGTGTCTTTGCTTCTTAAGTAAGGTTGGATCATATGACGTCTTTGTGAATATCCCGCAAGAGCTGATTTCGAGTTTTACTTTATTGAAGGAAGAGCTGGCGACTCCCTTACTCAACATCACGGCTATCCCTTTTCAACCAAGGATCGGGACCATGACAGTCATAGCAGTAACTGTGCTGAGAAATATAAAGGAGGCTGGTGGCATATTGACTGTTATTACTCAAACCTGAATGGTGTCTATCGTCATGGAGGGGACTCAGCTACTACTTTTGGAATCAGATGGAATAGCTGGAAAGGAAAGCCCCAGTCTATGAAGAGGGCTGAGATGAAAATCAGACCAGTGAAGGTTTAGAGCATATATGCTGGCTTACTCAAAGAAATAACATTTTAAAACGAATTTTGATTGTAGTTCTAGTTACACGGTATGATCTGGGTACGAGATAAACTTTGATTACTTATGCATTAATTACTTTGTATTTGTTCACCGGAAATGCCCTACGAAAAACGCCGGAAATGGCATTTCCAAGACCAACTTTCTGAGAGAGCACGTCCCCTAACCCCCGTAATTTGGAGCACCTTCGCCGTTCAATATTTTCTGCTCGTTCATACACCTTCAGAATCTCACGCTATGCCCCTAGTTATAAAAAAGAGGTTTTTAAAAAATTTTTGAAGAAGTCTGAATAAGTATACAATGTGATTATCAGCCGAACAAAGTAAACAATAATACTCCACCAGCGCTTAACCCTTCAACCCCTAAAAGTGACCAGCATCTAAGTTCTCCTTACAACATCAGCTCTGAATCACTCATCAAGGTCCAAAATAAAAGAAATGATCACCAACTGAAGAAGCTCTTGATTGTTAAACAAATTCTCCCTGTCAGCACCTTAGGAAATGTAAAGAGAATAGTATGGAGAATATGCATACTGATGTTAGGGTGTAAAGGATTTAACTGAACGGTTAAAGATGCTAAGTTTGTCAGATGTGATATATTGTTACCGACTATAATAAAGCCCCATCATAATGACAATGAAATTTGTGTATATGATATCTCCCCACTATGGTATGCAATTAGTGAAACTATAGCTAGAAGCAGGGAATTAGAAAGGAGTCTCTTAACGTTACGTTTGTCTATTAGGTTTCATTTCTCAATGGCATGATCCTAGTAAATTAAGGATTCCTAGCTGCTAATAAATAAACGTTTAAAAACCGCAATAGCTATTAAATTGAACAATGGACTGAGACTTTATTCTCTATAGTGAGATGTTAGAACCGTTGGTCAAAGAATGATAACCAGGTCAGTAAAAGCTGGCTTGTAATGATGTTCACTTTGACAAAATTATCTCCCCTTCCTCCAGAAATTAAACACCAGAGAACGGTCAAGAAGAATACGTTTCGGTGCAGCTTACCAAAGACCCAGGTTTCTGATCCTTTTTGGGAACCTAAAGAAGGGGGTAATACAACGAAGGGCAGGAGTCGGGGGGCAAAGAGGCTCAAAAGTAGGTGAGGAGGGAGGCTGTGACTCCCTGTCCCCCTCTTTCCCCCAAGGCCCTACGTACAATGCAACGATGCAACTAAGCCTTGAAACTAGCAATCAAGCTTTTGAATTTGTTACATTCTTACTAAAAGCACTTGAAACGAAAATTCTCATTAAAATTAAGAAAATATTAACTTTAATATTATCATTATTATCATTTTTTACATTTTCTTTATGCCCGAAAAAAAGCTCATTATACCGGCATTATGCTCGACGCTCCTACAATAACATTATACCCAAAATTATGTCGGTATAATGCATCCAACCTAAGCTTTAAAACTTGACTGGTCTGATTTTCATCTCAGCTCAGCTCTCCTCGCAGAGTAATGGTAACTTTTCCGGTGATACTAGTTGACTTCATCAGCATGCGATGAGTGTTTCCCACGATGATAGTAACCGTTGAGGTTTGAGCTATGACAGGCCAA